ACCTCATGGTTGGATTATTGCAATGCGCTCTACATGGGGCTACCCCTGAAAAGTGTTTGGAGACTACATTTCGTCCAGAATGCAGCCGCTTGAGCGGTCATGGGTGCACCTAGGTACTCGCACATTACACCAATCCTCCATGAGCTGCACTGGCTTCCTATCAGTCTCTGGTCACAATTCAAGGCATTGGTTATTACCTTTAAAGCCCTATATGGCTTAGGGCCAGGCTATCTTTGAGACCGTCTTCTACTGCATAACTCCCAGCAACCAGTAAGATCCCACAGAGTTGGCCTCCTCTGGGTCCCGTCAGCTAAACAATGTCAGCTGGTGGGTCCGCGGGGGAGATCCTTCTCTGTGGCTGCCCCGACTCTCTGGAATCAGCTACCTCCTGAGGCCTGGACGCTCCCACCCTACTGGCCTTCTGGAAAATGGTGAAAACCTGGCTTTTCTGGCAGGCTTGGGGCCATTGATGTCGCCTCTGCGATCTTGCGAGATCTGACCATGAGTGGTATGTATGGATTTTTTAATGTCTCTTATTGTATATTGTTCATATTGTCTTTGTTGTAAGCCGCCCAGAGTCCTCGGAGAGTTGGGCGGCATAGAAATACGAATAATAAATAAATAAATAAATAAATAAATTTTCAGAGATAATAGATTAGGCAGAAGTTTAATACATGTCACGGTCCAGAGACAATGACTCTGAATGTGAAGAAGTTGCTCCAGCAGGATCTATGGAATTCCAGTCTCAGAAGACACAAATTGAAGAACCTCATAAGGCTGATTAAACACTTGCTCTGCCTGGGTACCTAGAAAAGTCTCATGATGATGACCTCCCAATCCTTTCATTAGGGAAGTAGAGAGAAGACAAAGCAGAGCCCATCTATGAGGATCCTTGGCAAGCACGAGAGTAAATTGTTTAAGAGGCAAGCCTGACCCATATCTCAGATTTTGGCTTGCTCATATGCATAGTATTAATCTACACAGAAAGGCAGTTTGGTCTAATGGTTAAAGCAGCAGCCATGAAAGCAGGACATGTGGGTGTTGGGCAGGGACTTGAACTTTTTTTTTGGTGGGGAAAACCTGGAAGCTTTCAGATTCGGGTTTTCCCAGTTGTGCCAATATGACATCTCTAATAAAATGGAACTTTGAGGAATCTTATGCCTCAGAGTTTTCTTTCGTTGGGGATGTTACTTGGAACCCTGACACAACCATTTAGTCACATTAGCTCTGTTCTGTAGGACACAGTCTGTTTTAACATCCTTTAGCAATTGCAATAGCACTAAGACTTATATACCACTTCATAGCTCCTCTCTAAGTGATTTACAGAGTCAGAATATTTCCCGCAACAATTCGGGAAAATAATTCACTATGTTAATCTCAATCCCAGGTCACTGAGTTGGAAAAATGATTTTATTGTTTTTAGAATTTGATGATCTCTCCAGTAGCTGCCTGCCATAGTCCGTCACTAAAAAATAAATTGAGCAAAAGCAACAGTTAAATGATCTGAAAATTTTTTAGCTAGGCCCAATTTAACATTAGTTGGAGTGAGGAAGTTACCTTAATTATCTCTACAATGAACCTGATCACGATCAAGATATCCTTTCTGACAATAGGCATGGTCAATTTGCTTGCCTCTATAGCGTTTTAGGATGAATATTTAAAGCCTCTTTACCTCCACCCTCAGACTGAAATTTTGATTAGAGAGTTTAAAGGGACAAAACTTTAATTATGACTCCTGAATGGCACCAGACTAGAACTCTCAAAATAATTTTCTCCTCAGTAATTTTCATACCAATTTCAGTCTTTTCCAGAGTTCTTTCTAGGATTAATTGTTAAGCAAAGTATTAATGGAAAGTTTCTAATTTTATTTTTAAGCAACCCAACAAATCATTCCTGCAGTAATCATGATTAAGGTCACATAGATCCAAGTGCAATGTGTTTTGTTTTCTGTAACTAGATAGTCCTCAATCTTTTATCATTGTCTGATGCTCCTCATAATTCATCTCATTCTCTGCACATCTCTTTCTATTTATAGTTCTTTCTCTTTTATGAATTATGCAAGAGCATCAGACAATGTTAGAAGAATGAGGAGTTTTCAATTTCAGAAATTTCTTGCTGCTATTCTCTGAATTAGGGACTCAGTGGTTCAGTGGTTAAGACACTGAGCTTGTTGATCAAAGGGTCAGCAGTTCAGTGGTTCGAATCCCTAGTGCTGCGTAATGGGGTGAGCTCCCATTACTTGTCCCAGCTTCTGCCAACCTAACAGTTCGAAAGCACGTAAAAAATGCAAGTAGAAAAATAGGGACCACCTTTAATGGGAAGGTAACAGCGTTCCATGCACCTATGGCGTTTAGTCATGCCGGTCACATGACCATAGAGACATCTTTGGACAGCGCTGACTCTTCAGCTTTGAAACAGAGATGACCATTACCCCCTAGAGTTGCCATCCCATTGCAAACCAGTAGTAAAGGTAAGTAGAACCCACCCCTGATTTACATGTGCCTCATTCCTGCCCCAGACTCAGGTTTCTTTTATTTAACAGCTGCTATTCCTCCTGTCCCACAAGTCCATTTTTTCTGCTCTCTACAACTCATTTTATCAGATTCAAGGTCTCACCATCTCTCCTCCCAGGAAGTCAGGTGAACATGGACCAAAAGGCAGTCCTTCCTCATGGTAACCCCGAGGCTTTGGAGGGGTGTTTGACTCCCTCTTTATTAACATTTGAAAAGGGGTTATTTTACTCTTGGTTAGATGTACTCTACCCAAAGACTGGTGATATGGATGATATAACCTTGTTTTTAACAAACACATTTACTGTTCATTATTCTGTAATGTGTAATTTATGCCTGAATGGCTTTTTATAATTTTCCAGGGGGAAATAAAACCATTGCTGAGAAGAAAGCAATAAAATAGGGAGGGATTTGCATGCTTAATCACCAAGAAACATAATAAGAATGGGAAACTGATTAACTCAGCATGCATTTCCTTCTTGATGAATCTATTTTAGTAAAAACTCTTAGAGCATTAATTCTAAGGGAGATATAGTGTTCCAAAAACAACAAGAAAAGTACAGAACACTAATTTAGGAATGTAATTTAGATTTACTAGTTTTAAATTTATTTTATGTTCTTGTTTTTCTTTAATTTTGTGCTCCCAAATTTAACTAGCCACAACGTGTTACTTTCTGTCACTTTATACAATCCATGATACACACAACTCTCTCTTCAATGGCTGGTGGCTTCAGCAGGTACGATCATAAATTTGAAAGTTGATGCAGGAATGATGTCCTTTGGAAAATCATTGCATCTTCAATTTATCTTACCCTGGCCCTTGGTGTGCTTAAAAGAGTCCTGAAATCTTGACTGTCCTGTAAGCCTTGGGTTAGAATCAGGAGTGAAATCCAGCAGGTTCTGACAGGTCCTGGAGAACCAGTAGTGGAAATTTTGAGTAGTTTGGAGAACCAGCAAATGCCACCTCTGGCTGGCCCCAGAGTAGGGTGGGAATTGAGATTTTGTAATATCCTTCCCCCAGGAGTAGGGAGGGAATGGGGATTTTGCAGTATCCTTCCCCTGGAGTGGGGTGGGAATGGAGATTTCGCAGTATGCTTCCCCAGGAGTAGGGAGGGAATGGAGATTTTGCAGTATGCTTCCCCAGGAGTAGGGAAGGAATGGAGATTTTGCAGTATCCTTCCCCTGCCATGCCCACCACGCCACACCATACCACACCACGCCCACCAAGCCACGCCCATAGAACCAGTAGTAAAAAAAAAATTGAATTTCATCACTGGTGATCAAGTATTTTTCTATACATATCAGCAAGTTCAGCTACATTCACTAGGCAAGTCTCCTTCTCCTTAGCGAAAAAAGTGTTAAATATGATCTTAACTTGGAAAATATTAGAAAGTTAGAAATGAAATCCAGAGGGGTTTGGAATAAATACTTGAAACTAATTATAAAATCCTTCCTGTGGGAAATCATAGATATTTACATTCCTTGAGAAAAAAAATACAATGTGATAAGGTTGGACATTAGATGACCAACAGTAAATAAAATATTGCATCAAGAGATATGTATGAAAAATAGTTTTAGATGATAAAAAATGGTTGTGATTATTTATTCCATTAGTGAAAGACTAGATGGTGCTATGGTAGAGAAATAACTTTCACTGGACAATATTTTGATTCTAAAAAATGATAGATTATAAAATGGCTGTGGAACAAGGTGAACTGAACATAGAAACAAAGCTGGATGGAGCTTTAATAATTAAAAATGACATGAATAACAAAACAACTTGTATAACCTTTTTGTACTGGATTTACAAAATGAATTGGTTAATGTCTGTGATTTGGGTAGAAAAGACTAAAAGAAAATAAAAAGAAATCACATGCTGGGTCATTATTTGAGAAAGCTAACCTCAAAATTTTTGGGAATAAGGACAAAGAATATGAAGTGGGTTTATTTGAAATGAGGTGAAATATGGGAAGAAGAAATTGTATCTTAAGAGATGGTGATAAATTATTAAAATTGTATATACTTGCCAAGAAGAAGGGGGAAGTTACTTCTTTTTCTTTTCTTCCTTTCTTTCCCTTTTTTCCTTTCTTTTTTGTATTTTTCACCTTTTACCTTTTTTAAAAAACTTTTTTTATCCTTTGTAGTTTGTATTAGTTTTATTTGTATATTGTCTTTAATAAAATTATTATACGTAAATCAAATCAAGAGCCTGGTGGCTCAGCAGACTGATAGCATTGTAATTAACACCAGCTGTCTGCAATTACTGTAAGTTCGAATCTCACCAGGCTCAAGGTTGACTCAGCCTTCCATCCTTTCTAAGGTAGGTAAATTGAGGACCCAGTTTGTGAGGGCAATAAGCTGATTTTGTATAAATATACAAAAGTATGAAGGCTATTGCTTAACGCATTGTAAGCCGCCCTGAGTCTCCGGAGAAGGGCGGCATATAAATCAAAATTTTTTAAAAAATACACATAAATAGCTAGACAAGGATTTCAGAAACTTGGGATTTATTCTCTGTTTGGTAGTTGTTGACATAAAGAAAAGACGAAGAACAGATCCATTGATTAACGAGGAAGCTTCTTCACTTCATGGTCACACTTTCTGGAAAGTATTTTTTGTGTCTCAAATCATCCTTATTAGTGACTTTAATAGTAAAATTTGTCTTCTGCTTTCAGCTTTACTTTCCAGTTCAGAGATTATTTTTGCAACTGCAAAAGAAAATTTATTCATACTTTTACTGTGAAGTATCACATTGACCAAACATATAACACATTTCATATGCTGGTAGTCCTCGACTTAAAGCAGTTCATTTACCGACCATTCAAAGTTACAGTAGCACTGAAAAAAGTGATTTATGACCATTTTTCACACTCACAACTGTTGCAGGATCCCTACGGTCATATGATCAAAATTCAGACTTATATTTATGATGGTTGCAATGTGACATGGTCATATGATCACCTTTTGAGGCCTTCTGACAAGAGACTCTTGTCAGAGTACAGCCAAACAAACAATTAAAACATGCTGTACTACAGAAACAAATAATTAAACATAAATAAAAACTAGATCATGACAGGGAAGGAATCAGAATATTACACACAATGCAGCTAGAATAGGGGATCCACTGGTTTTTTTTTCTTGTTTAATATACTGTGTTTCCCTGAAAAAAAGACTTAGTCTTATTTTATTTTGGGCCCCAAAATAAGCACCAGGTCTTATTTTGGGGGGATGTCTTACCTGCTTACCTTACGATCACCACAGTCAGGCCTCCCATGCCCTGACACCTGTCGTGCTGCTGCCAAACTTGCTCTGCGCCCACTCATGGCCAGTGGCTCATCACACCAGTGCTGTCACTCACAGCAGGTTGCATGGGACATTGCACGCACGAGTGGTGGCACCAGTGGGATGCACTGACAGCATCATGCCATGAGTAGTGGCACTGGTACAATGAGCTATGTGGCATCTGGCCATGAGCAGCTGCAGAAGCAGTTGGGCTGTGGTGTGACAGGTGTCAGGGCATGGGAGGCCTGGCTGTGGCGGTCCTAAGGTAAGCAGGTGTGGGGCACGTGGGGCAGTTCCACCCCGTACTCCCACTCTAGCTTGATTTTACGCATGTGTCTCACCCCACCTCGTACAACCAGCCAGTGGGATGGAGTGGGTGGGGCTTAATTAGGGCTTATTTTTGGGGTAGGGCTTATATTAGGCACATGTGAGAAAATCTGGCCATATTTTTGGGGAAACATGGTACATGGAATATTATGATGTATATATAAAAGGAATAGGCTTGCTTCATGGATCTGTTATGCTGCTTTCATCTCTCTTACCCTCCACTCCCCCCTCCCCAACATGTAATACTGTGCCAAGAAAGTCAAGAAAGATCAGTATCTCATTTAAAAATAGCCAGAGTGGATTTCAGGTTGATCATCCCAGAACAAGGCAGTCAGCCTCCTGTATTTGTTCAGAGCAGCAATATCCATACATTGGTAAAAGAACAGTTAATACACCAGCCATGGAAGCTTGATTTAAGCCCCACCTGTTTGTGCATGCATGTGATATCCATACAAAGGGGTCGGGCTTTGATCATGCTAGTGTGCTGTCTTGTTGCCTTGTTTTAAAAACCTCCCCTGCAGATTCCACTGAACAATACTGTATCTCAGGGAAGAATACTAATAAGCCATTATAGAATAATAAATACAATCCTTACACATATTTCCTTGCCCTTAACAGTAAACTATTTACAATAATTGCATTAAAAATGCTTTCAGAATAATCCACTCTAACAATTCAAAATATCCTTTGTCAACAGACTAAGGAGCAGGGTGATTCCTCTTCCTCATTGCATCTCACTCTTGTCTAAACATGATATATATTTAGAGAGCTTCTGGAGACCATCCACATTTTGAAATACCTAAATAAAAACAGGAAAATCTGAAAGTATGTTTCATCTTAATAAAAAAAAAATGGAGTTCTTACGTTTCTTTACAACACATCCCTCCTGTACAAGCTTCACCCTTGTCCTCATCGTCGTCACATTCTTTGACACAACGACCACCTTGCTCCTGGCAGTCGGCAGCAGACATTTCTCCTTCAGCAACAGCACCTAGAAGGAGACATCATTTGTACTATATGGCACATGTGTCTTTTTGACTTCTTTAAATCCAAGACAGTTGAGAAGTATTATGTCACAGATGTTCTATTTTTACTCAGACCCAGAGATTAGATTAGATTAAATTTATTGGACTTCTATACCGCCCTTCTCCCGAAGGACTCAGGGTGATGTACAGCCATATTAAAACACATATAGATTACAAAATTTAAAAACAATTTAAAACCGAATATATAAAAATTTGGCCCACAAAATTAAAAAAACTAACATACACCCATTATAAAATTCATATTAGGCCAGCCCGGCTTGTTGGAACAAAAGGGTCTTCAGGGCATGGAGAAAGGTATGCAGGTTGGGGATCATATGAACCTCTAGCTCATTCCAGAGGGCTGGTGCCCCCGCTGAGAAGGCTCTCCCACTGGGTGTCACCAGTCGGCATTGTTTGGCCAATACAAAATTTAAAATCAATTAAAAGAATTATACAGTTTTGGCCCACAATTTAAAGCAATCCAATTAAAATCCAATTTACACTTAAAAAGCTAAAAAGCTAAAAAGAGCTAAAAAGGGGGGTGGTGTTCACGCCAGCCCTGCTTGATGGAAAAGAAAAGTTTTTAGGGCACGGTGAAAGGCCCGGAGATCTGGTATCCTTCGTATCTCCGGGGGCAAATCGTTCCAGAGGGCAGGTGCTGCCACAGAGAAGGCAGCACCTGACCCCCCCCTGGGGGTTGCCAGCCGACATTGCCTGGCTGATGGCACCCTGAGGAGCCCCCTCTCTGTGGGAGCGTATTGGCTGGTGGGAGGCTGACGGTGGCAGAAGGCGGTCTCGTATATACTCCGGTCTTAAGCCATGGAGCGCTTTAAAGGTGGTGACCAACACCTTGAATCGCACCTGGAAGACCACCGGGAGCCAGTGCAGCTCGTGCAGGTGAGGTGTTACATGGGTGTGCTGGGTCGCCCCCATAATCACCCGCGCGGCCGCATTCTGGACCAGTTGGAGCCTCCGAGTACTCTTCAAGGGGAGCCCCATGTAGAGAGTGTTACAGTAGTCCAGACGGGATGGGACGAGGGCATCCCGGTCCAGAAAGGGACACAACTGGAGTATCAGGCGAGCCTGATAAAAAGCTCCCCTGGCCACAGCCATCATATGATCTTCCAAAGACAGCCGTGCATCCAGGAGAACACCCAAGTTGCGAGGCTGACTGAAAATATATATGAGAATGGGAATGTTACTCTATTAACATAGTTATGTAGAAAGTTCCTCAGTGGCAATCTACAAGCATTAGGCTACAGATCAGAGGTCTTAAAGCTGCCAAGTTTGAGGACCCCTGCTTTAGATAATATGTTCTGCTGGGAGACTCGGGAGGATAACAAACATACAGCATCTAAAACTCATTGATCTAAAATGTAAATGTAGAGGGAAGAAATTTAGATTTAATGGTGCCATCAAACCATCTATCTTCCCCATCGAAAATATGGACATTATGGTCTTCAAGTGTCCTGTAATGGTTCTGTAGCAATAAAATGAAAAGTTAAACGATGGGAAACAATTGCCATTAATTACCTCAATCATTTTGCATTACAATGAGTAAAAATAATTGTACTTGCAGTTTATTGTGAGTGTCTAACTGGCTGGTTTTTATTTTCTCTCCCCATCATTTTGTGTATAGAAAACACTAGCAGGCAAATTTCTCTATCCCAATCTTTATCACCTTCACCTGTTCCTTGCTGATAAGTTAGTCTTTATTTCTGGAGGGATAGCAATTCTATATGGTATTCTAAATTGTTTGTCACCTATGGCTGCTCCTGAAGCTGATTTAACAAATTTTAGTGCTTAGTGCTATGGTTTGATAGTGGGGCAAGATTGATACTAATTCTGAATTCCAGATACCACTTTCCCTGACTGGCCATTCCCCTCCTAATTTCCCTTCTCATCCGTGCAAAGAAGAGAAATAATTGTGTTGACATATCTACCAAAACCTGGCTTTTCCTTTTTTTGTATTCATCCCTGCCACCTCCTGACTAGTGCCCATTATTTTCCTCTGTTTTTCTGTTTCTGTTTCTAAAAGAAGAGAAAATATAAAGCTCAGGGTTGAACCATGTAGCCTTTGGCGCTCCATGAGCTTGGTTGTTTGCTTGCAGAGACTTCATTACCTTGCTAGTGATATTGTGACATTGATGATGTTACCTAGTTTGGTAAATCTCCATTTCTAATGTGGAAAATTAGCCTTTTGATTTTTTGAATGAAAAAAAAAGTTTTAAAATTTCAAAACATTGTTCCACATTGTTTCCCTGGATTGGGACCAGGGTAACTTTAAGAGGCAGCTAGAGGATGCATGAATACTTTTTAATAATAACATGGCATGCTATAATTAAAGAATTACATTTTCCCTGATATAAAGAAGGAAAAGAAGAGGGATGGTGAAGCCACACCATCCTGTAGTCTCTTATGTTACAGCTCAGGCAGTAGAAAGGAAGGGGATTGTATGCTTGGGGATTATTGGTGATCTGAAAAGTGACAATATAATCAGATATTTACTGAATATTTTCTTCAGCTTCTCATAACCTCTCATAACTTGATCTAATTTAGGGGAAAAAGGCAGACCACATTTGAGGAAGAGTCTTCTAAACCTCTAACGTTTCCATCTATAATAATGGATATTAATATATACCTTACCTGGGAAAACCAAGAACATCCATGTCATCAAAGCAATAGAAAGGATGGCAAGCTGCATGGTAGAAAACAGATGGAGTTCTCAAGTCAACAGCAAGACAGAGAGGCAAAAACAGTGTGTTAACAAAGCTTGGTATCTTTGAAAGGTTGACTACATATCCATTTATAGGGCTCTGTAAAGTACTTATCATGCATCACCCTTTCAGTAAAACTTCCTAGTACAAATTGTGATTATAAAAATGCTTTGTACTTTAATTGGATGATAATGTATGGTGGAAATTATTAATTACTTCATGTAATGATATTTCCACTTTGATTGGGTTGGGAAGCAAAATTTCCTCCTTCTCCCGCCAGTAGAGGATGTTGTAGGTCATAACTAAAACTAATAAAATTAAATGAACTGAACAGAATAATTAAGAGTATGGTATATGTGGAACATTTTTAAGATTACCAAAACAGTGCCTTATAATAAACAGATTAGAAAGTGCGTATGTGAAATTGTATTCGATAATCATCAAAATTCTGGTAGTATAATAGACTTGTCCCTCATTTGCCTCTAGTAAACCTGATTCAGGTTACCTTTTTCTCTGAAATTGAACAGTCCTTATTCTGTCATTATTGACCACATTTCTTCTAGTCACTGGGATACGATTCTTTGGATATTAAATGTTTAAATCATTGTCAAATGTGCAATAAAGTGGTTCAAAAAAAAAAAAAAAGACTTCAGGAGCCAGGACATATGCATCAATATACATACAGAGATTGATTTACAGGGAAAGACTCATGGAATTCAGTTTGGATGAATAAGCATAATTCTGATAATCTGAATGCTGAGCTAAAATCAAAAGCCATGATGTGTGTCAGCAATAAAGGAAAGAATAATTAGTCCTTGCATCCATTGTAAGGTTCAGAACAAATGGTACAATAAACATAAATATTATAGCTTTGAAACTGTGCTCACAAGAGCAGAAAATGGAATTGATAGTTTCATCCAATTGAATTTATTTACTTAACTATATTTATCAACTGTCCCAAGAGATAAGGACTCTGTGCAGTTTACAACAAAGACCAATAAAACAGTACAAAAGCAGCAAGAAAGTACAAAATAAGTTTAACTCTATTTTGTCATTTTAATCATTTCACTTGTACATTGCCCATCTCCAGGGCCGGATTTAGATGAAGAGAGGCCCTAGGCTATTCCACTTATGAGGCCCTTTCACCTATAGTGAAAGTGTAATTTTAATTTTGCTAACAATTTGAATGTAGGCCCCTCTTGATCTTGAGGCCCTAGGCTGAAGCCTAGTTAGCATATAGGAAAATCCGGCCCTGCCCATCTCATCTAGAGGTGACTCTGGTTTATTTTTTAAAAAGCTAGTAAACATTAAAAGAATAAATAATAGTAATTTAACATCGTAAGCCACCCAGAGTCACCGTGCAGTGAGATGGGAAGCAAACAAAATAGATTAAACAGTTTTTTCCAACTGTCATAAAACATTTGTGGTTGTGTTAGCCATATTGTTGGCTTTTCAGCTTAGTCTAAACAGCCTACTCCTGTTAAAATATATGAAGTTGTTGAAAGTTATCCAAGGGCTTCATCACTGAATATGCACTTGAAAGTGGATATTTTTCATTGTATTCCTACCCTCTAATTGCTACATCCTATTAGCCATGTAAGACCAATCATTCAGTTTGCTGATGTATTTTAAATCATTGATGACTAATAAGGCAGTAAAATAAGTGGCTGATGATTTCCATGATCAACTTCAAGTTTGAAATCAACAGAACATGTGAGCAAGATGTACTCCTTGTGATTAGAGACTGGAATGCCAATATTGGAAACATTAAAGAGGAAAAGTAGTTGGCCTGTTTGGTTTAGGAAACTGAAATGATCCAATCAGATCCATTGATAATTAACACTGTATTGAGAAAAAGGGTGAAAGCTCCTTTCTATATATTTTATGGTACAAGTAATCTACTTTACTTTGGTAAAATGTCTGTTTACAGCAGGGGTGTCAAACTCACATTGTCACAATGGCATCACATGACGTATCAGGATTTTTTCCCCTTTGCTAAACCAGGCGTGGGCATGGCCAGCGCATGACACAACCGGCCCACAGGCCAGGAGTTTGACATGTGGTATTTAACTGCTTTGGAACTGAAGCCAAAATTTGAAATCTCTTAGTGGTGGTGGGCAGTGAGGGAAGGATGAGGGAACAATTCAGATGCCTGCTGATGAGGTATGGCTGGCTGGAGTCATTGGCAGTTGATGAGTGAGCCTCTTCCTCCCTAGAGGTGGGGACACACACACAAATGGAGACAGAAAGTGAAGTTTTTCTCATAGCTCACTGTTCCTTTTGTTTCCCCTCTTTGAAACAAAGTGGCAGGCAATTCTGTGGTCAAAAGAGGAGGAGGAGGACGATGACAACTGGTGGTTTCACCATGGTTTTGCTGAGGGTTGTGAGAGTAGGAGAAAGGGCATCAGCCTATATTATATGTGGAAAGAAGAATGCTCTCTGCCAGCTTCCCACAAATCAGTGGTGAAACTAGCAGGAAGTATGAACTCTTCTAAGGTGATGACACTTCGTGTACGCTAAGGATTGAAATTTAGCACAGTTGTATCCAGGACCCATTACTCTCATGGAACTAAAATTTGACAAACTGCTCAGATGCTCCTTGCCAGTTTCCCACAAGAAAAGTCAATGAGAAAACTGGCAGGAAGTCAGATGTTCCTCCCAATTTTTGCCTGCCTGTGGTCATTCTGTTCTTCTGTTTCAGTAAGAAAACATCTCTGAAATTAGACCCACTAGATCACAGACTGTATAGCATAAAAAATAAAAAAATACATCTAATTAAATATTTTGTGCAGTTGTATGACTTGATGAAGATATTAGGCTACTTGCTATGTAAGCATAGAGTTAGCATCTATTAACACAGAGTTCCCCAACGTTTCTGGCTTTGCGGACTGGTGGAGGAGGGAGAGGGGATGGTTCTGCACGAGCAGCTGGTAAATGTGTGTGCGCGCGCATGCAACTCCATTTGCACAAACAGCTTGAATGTGAGGCTGCCGCTCATTTAAATGGATCATGCGTGCCCGCGCTCACCCACTGCTCGCACAAGTGAGGATGTGCGTGCATGCGTGCTAGCCGTCTATTTTCATTTGCTAGCCGTCTATTTGCAACCTGTTGCAAACCCACAGGTTGGGGACCCCTATGTTAACATATATTAAAACATAATAGACATGACATTTATCAATATAACCCTCAAATTTAAAGATTGAGAGATTGAGGAGATCAGAGCACATCTTAGGGCATCATAAATAAAAATATTGAATGCCCTCCGAATCCAAATGGATCACATCTTTGTAAATAAGGAAGCCTGTGGAATCTTCTCACCATCTGTGGTGAGGAAAGTCATTAGAGCAGGTTCTGGTAAAGGGCCATCTATATTTCCTTAGAGTTAGTCTGTATAGATACTTTGCAGTAGAGGGCAAGTGGGTATCTAATATGTTATGATAGAATTTAGGAGCACTAGTGATATAATTTTAGCAGTCAATGTCCTTTATTCTTTCTTTTACTTACCTTTGCCTTTTCAAGGGTTAATTGGCCTGAATATTTAAGAGAGAAACCAAGTTTTTCTATACAGATATAGTGCCAATAATGGTAGTGTATTTAATAAAGTAGAGACAATAGACCTACAAGGTCATGTGTGATTCTGAGCTCTAAGATTAGAATTCTGGTTCAAGCCTGGGCTTTCATGTTTTGCACATTACCTTCAAGGAGACATTTTGCTTCTGAGGCCACTTGGAGGTTTATCTGTGCCCTCAGGGTCATCTGAATAGTGCTAATGGGTGTGGAACCTTCTTGGAACTGCTGAAAGGACTGTAAACAGGGGATGGGGGGTGTCATATCCCTCCCCCTTTGTTGAGAGAGGGCTATTCAGTTTTAATGTAGATTGACTCTTTGACCCCTCCTTTTTAAACCAGTGGTCCTCTCTGTCCAGAATGTGGACTTTGCTGTCTTCAAAAGAGTGGCTTTTGTCTTTCAAATGCAGATGGACTGCTAAATTTGGTCCTGATCAGTTTTTTCTCCTATGTTGTGCCATGAGTGTGAAGTTGTTGTTTTGTTTCTCCAATGTACAGATCTGTACATGTCTCACTGCATTGTACTGCATATATCACATTGTTCAGTTTGTGTCTCCATGTTTTATCCTTGAGTTAGACGAACTTCTGCCTTAGTGTATTTTTGGGTTTAAAGTGTGCATGTACTGGTTGAAAAACACAGTCCTTTCAGCAGCTCCAAGAAAATTCCACACCCATTTGCACTATTTAGGTAACTCTGGGGGTACAGATAAACTTTTAGAAGTAAAACGTCTTGTTGAAGCTAATGTGCAAAACATTAAAGCCCAGGCCTGGACCAGAATTCTATTCTTAGAGTTCAGAATTACGCTTGACCCTATAGGTCTGTTTATTTATTTATTTATTTATTGGTTCGATTTATATGCCGCTCTTTTCCGGAGACTCAGGGCGGCTTACAATGCATTAAGCAATAGCCTTCATACTTTTGTATATACCTGCTTAGTAGGGCTTTCGTCCCCACCCCCAAAGCGGTGTTCTTTTTTATACAGTCAGCTTATTGCCCTACAAACCGGGTCCTCATTTTACCTACCACGAAAGGATGGAAGGCTGAGTCAACCTTGAGCCTGGTGAGATTTGAACTTGCAGTAATTGCAGGCAGCTGGTGTTACTTAACAGTGCTTTTAGTCTGCTGCGCCACCAAGGCTCTTTCACCAAGGCTGTTGTCTCTGCTTTATTAAATACACTACCATAATTGACACCATACCTTTATAAAAGAACTTTGTAGTCTTGGCCTCTCTCTTGAACATTTAGGCCAATTAACCCTTGATAAGGCAAATCAATCATAAAAGAAAAAATTAAGGACATTGATTGCCAAAATTATATTGGCCAAGTTGTATCTCATATAATAATTGGCAACTGTTTTAACCATAAACCACTTGATTGCTGGTGGGAAGTAATTTTGCCAACAACCTTGAGTTAGTGCTAGTACACTCTTTTGAGCAGCAAAAGTAGCATAATTTACTTGGGCTGTTAATTTTCTAGAAGACTGAAATATTGTGCCGAAATAT